TTTAAATTCCGGCGCGAGCTCAACTTGTCCAAGTCGGTGCTATTAGCGTTGAATCGGAAGGTGGACTGCCCTCGGCTGCCTGGCGTCCATGTGCTTGGTCGTAACGAGACTGTTAAGTACTTGGGTATTCCATTCAGCCAAGCTCCAGTTGACAACACAATTGTCAAGCGCTTGGATCAACGCTTCTAAAACGGCATCAAGACGTTGTACCGACGTGCGCGAACCCTTCGTGGTCGACTTCTAGTCGTGCAAATGATGGTGCTGTCACGTTTGTGGCACTATACGCAGCACGTCGTGATCCCACAGACGATCGTGCAACGCTGGCAGTCTATGCTGAACCGAACCATTCAGAGCCGCAAGCATGACAAGAACGCGAAGCACGTTCAGCTCATTCCGGGTGAGTTCTTGTACCTGCGGCGCAGCGAAGGCGGTTTGGGCATCCTAAATCTCGAGGCACAGCTCAAGCGACAGCGACTCACACTACTTCTACAATTCATGCAGGCGATGACCGTGACGGGCGAGCTCAACTGGACCACCGCAAGCGTTGAATCGATGAAGTCGGTGCTTCCTCTGTACGGTGGCGTCCAAGCTCTCGACTTCTTAGCAATCTCTCCGCTTCGTCTTGGCAATATGATCAAGTGGAGTCGGACTTCATCATGGTGGCGAGTGACGTGGACGTGGTGGTTCAGGATACGCTGGAAGATCACTTGGCGCGAATTGCCGCTAAAAGAGCGTGCAACATACGGTCTTAAACAGCCAATCTGGTTCCATGCAAATTTGGAGCTGCACTATGAGATATCACGACGATCGGTGAAGACTATTACCCATCGACAGTGTCTCGGCACGATTCCTGAGCCTCCGTCAGCATGTATCGCTCGTCTTTGGCTTGCGATCACTTGCCGACTTCATCCGAGATGGTGGGGCATGGCCGACTTAACGTGACTTCGTGCAGCGCCACATTGAATACATGCTAGTGTCGACGGCACAGATGAAGCGGCCGAGCACGCTATATAGAGAGGAAACGCAGATTGTGGAGCGGCTTGACGCGTTAAAACTTGTTTATAACACTTCAAGCACCAGCGCTAGCTGTCCACTTCCGTATGTGGGCTGCACAAGAGGGGTGAGGAAGGTCATAGTCCCGGCGATCCCTCGGACCGCGCTTCTTCAGGTGGTCTGGATGTCTAAGCCTACAACAAAGCAGCACCCGATGCAGATACACTCGCAGCGTGTCGACGCTCCACAAATCAAGATGTTTGTGCAGCATTGTAAGCACCTGCACAAGATTATGCTACTGGTCTTGCATGAGCTTCAATTCCAACTCGCCTTCCGAATTCGTCGCGCTTCTGGTTCCTGAAGGCATCGCATCCATGCATCCGGAAATGCGTTTCCGATGGATGCAATGCCATAGAGACTGAGCAGCACTTGTTCTCTGACTGCACCCTCGCATCGCACCTCTGGCGGCAGGCTCGTCCGCTTGTGTCCCCGTTCTTCGTTGCGCGGCCAACTTGACTCGACATTGCGCTGGCAAAGAAGATGCGCGTATTCGACGACTGGAAAGCCTGTGGAGATGTTGTCGGCGATATGCGGCACGTTCTCCGTGCGGTGACGCTTCACTTTATTTGGTCCGACCGCAATCGGTGCCTATTCGACGGCAGACAGTCTACACCAACGCTCGCCGCGATCAAGGTAATCTTTACGACATTTTCTGCACACCTTCGGTACTTCCAACGGCGGTTTTTCAGGGAGGACACAATGGAAGGTTTTCACATGGTATTACGAAGGCTGAAGACGTTTCCTGTGTTTAGTGACTTTGTTGAATGCTTTCCAGGTATCACAAATGTACGTGATCCTGTATAGAATTATACTTTTCAAATATGATCCGTGGAAAATGGGAGGATATAAATTTTGAAAGGTTATTGGGGAAGTTTTATAGCCACATGTCACCTTTAAATTTTCCGGCTCTTGCACAAGCGACCCCGGCACCTCATCACGGCCTCTGAACACCCCGCCGCCTCCCAGACCCACTCATTCCAAACCACCTTCGCCGCCCGAAAGTTGGGCTTTGCTCTGCGGACTGAGTGTCTTCGACCGCACTTGAAATGGGGACGGGGGACATAGCCCAGAGCGGAGCTAGACTGATGGTCCGGTTAAGGGCAGTGAGGGATAAGTGATGGTGTCTGGTGGAGGCAGAGCGACGAGCCCAAACACGACAAGCACTACCATCTAGCCGCCGCGACAAGTTGTTTAGCCGCTACGAGAACACGGACTGCGCATTTGCATGCAATGGAGCGATTGAGTGAAGATAAGAAGAGATGAGTGAATCAAGATGCGCAGCATTGAGCGAATGAGTGAGTGTGTGTGAAGAATTGAGTGAGTGAGTAAGTGAGTGAGTGAGTGAGTGAGTGAGTGAGTGAGTGAGTGAGTGAAAGAGTGAGTGAGTGAGTGAGTGAGTGAGTGAGTGAGTAAGTGAGTGAGTGAAAGAGTGAAGATACATGGAAGAGATGTCCAAGGCAACTTTCTCAGTGTTGAACAAGCCTTACGTGTGAGTTTCAAGGGTTTTCAAGAAAAATGTGCGCATAAGTATTGGATTTTGCACTTTTAATTTCGACATGGATTTTGGTTTAGTGGTAGTTTTAATCCGATGAGTTAGGGTTCGAGTCCCACAACGGTTAAAGCTAGGAAGCGGTTACGTGGTGTTTGAGGTTCACCAAGTTCCCAACCACGAGTCACGTCCCCCGGCCGTCTTTTGATCGTTTGTTCATTGATCAAAAGTATTTAAGGTGATGTAACCATAAATGTTTTTCACGTACTATTAGATTGTATATTAGAGTTGATACAGTATAGTATATATTGATAGCTAGGGAAAATTGAGAAGTCATCACGTCTATAAATAATAATATAGACAAACTTTCAATTGAGCTACCCGCGCATGACCCCGTGGCGTGGGTCGAGTGGTCAATGCTTTTGGACCTAACGTTGTGTGGCGCGGGTTCGAGCCACTCAGCGGCCAAAATCGTAATCGTACCAGACATGCAAGAAATGTCGGCTGCACGCAAAATATTACCG